TTTCTTTATTTTTTTTTTGTCTGTTTTCTTTCACAACACAACTATTATGGATATGTTTTGCATGACTACATGTGTATAATCTATATCAAATTGCTTGCCTTCTCAATCTGGAGGGATGGGGTAGAGAGGGAGGAAAGGAGAGAATTTGGAACTCAAAGTTTCAAAAACAAATGTTAAAAATTGTTTTTACGTGTAACTGGGGAAAGCTAAAATGCTAAATAAATCAAATAAATAAATGTTAAAAAAAAAAAAAGAAATGGCAACAACCCCAGGTCGGTCCATTTTTAGTAGCCCCAGATGTGGCCTGATTGAGAACAGCACATCTGTCCGTGGAACTGAGCTCGTAGAAATGCAGAGGAAAATACCTTTTGCTGAAGCCAGTGCCATTTGCCACATGTCCATTCTCCTCCCCAACCCCCAGTTCACCAGAAAAACCACTGCTTTTAGATGATCAGGCATTCCTATGTGCAAAGGAACATAGAACTGAAAGTGGTCAAGGGGGAAGCGGATTTGTACATCTTACTTTTAAGGGCCTACGTCCTCTTACAGTGAGCCATCTGAGAGAAGGGGCAGAATGTGCCAACAAACTGGGAGTGCCTCTCCAGCACGTGGCGGCTGAGCAGATGCTATTTTTAAGACAAGCTTCACTGATTCTAGCCTGCTAGCCATTTGAAAACAAGAAATATGGGTTTAGAAAGCATGATAACTTCAATGGGTGAGATAAAAAAATTGGTTTGGGGCCCGAAGAGCCGGCCCTCTGATTCAAACAGGCGCACATGAATTCCTGGTATGTCTGTAAAGAATAGAACATAACAGCCACAGGGAGTTTTTGGTCCGTCGTAAGAAACATTTAGAAATATTAAAGAAACAAATGTTAAAAATTGTTTTAAACATGTAATGGGGGAAAAATAAAATATTAAAAAATGAAAAATGAGGCCAAAAAAGAGAAATATTCAAGAAACATGGAGTGGGGAGGAACTTTCCCATTACTGGATGTATTCAAGCAGACGGTGGATGGATGATTCCCTGTCAGGAAGACAGTGGAGGGGACCTCTTTACTGGGCAGGAGGGGGGATTAAAACTCTGCAATCCCTTTGAGCCCTGAGATTTTCAGAGTGGAGAGGGGTTTCTTATTCCAGTGTGCATTAAATTAGTTGGTCTCTGATTCTATAATTATCTGTTTTTATATAGTAGTCATGCCTGAAACTGTGACCACTAATAGGAGAATGGCATAGTGGATGGGGTAGTGGATTTGGAGTCAGAAGACCCAGGGTTAGGTCTTGCCTTAGTCCTTTGCTGGCTCTATGACTCTGAGCAAGTCAAGTAATCTCTGTGTCTCATTTTCCCTATTTCTAAAATGAGGAGGTTGGATTTGATAACCTCTAAGTGCCTTTCCAACTCTAAATGGCTAATCCATAACCAACAGCAGCTAATGTATACACAGTGCTTTAAGGGTCAAGATATACTTTACTCCTTATGTTATCTCATTTGGGCCTCAGAATAGCTCTGTGAGGTAGGTGCCATTTTACAGAAGAAGAGATTGAGGTTTGGAGAAATTAAGTGATTTGCTTAGGGCCATGTGAGTACATGTCAGAGGTAGGATTGGAACCCAGTTTCTCTTAACTCCAAGTTCAGCAATCTTTCCACTATACTACCTTGTCTTAATGAGTCTAGTGTCCTCGAAACTAGAATTTCATTTAGGAAACTTTATAGAATTTCCCATGACTCCAAGTGAGACTCATTGCCCTGAAAATCCATTCTCTTAGCATCAATATTCTCTGAGGGTTGTTATGTGATTACAAAGCATGGAACATCACAATCTCAGAAAAATCAAACTTACTGATGATCAATGGAAAGAGATATAGTAGGTATAAGTAGGCTGGACCAAAGATAGTATTTTGAAGAATAGATCATATCTACGAAAGTGAGGCCAGTCATGGAGAGAGAGAGAGAGAGAGAGAGAGAGAGAGAGAGAAACAGACAGAGACAGAGACAGAGACAGAGAGAGAACAAATGGATAGCCTAAGGGAAGGCCTACAATGTGTTAAATGGATTTGAGGATTTACACAAAGATGTGGGCAAGAATCCTAGAAACCCAGATTTAGATCTGGAAGTAACTTCACAGGCCTTCTGGTCCAATCCCCTCATTTTACTGATAAGGAAATTTACATTCTCACTCTACGGCTGTCATTTGACCAAGCATAGGGGATATGAAGAAAGGCAAAAACATGGTCCCCGACCTCAAGGAGTTCTCATACTAATGGGGGAGACATGGAAAAAACTGTACATATAAAACATTCATACAGTTGGAGTACCTTGGTGGCACAATGGATAGAGAGCTGGACCAGGAGTCAAGGAGATCAGAGTTCAAATCCAGCCTCAGAGACTTACTGGCTGTCTTACCCTGGGCAAGTCACTTAACCTTTGTTCATCTCAATTTTCTCATCTGTAAAATGGGGATAATAATAGCACCTACCTCCCAGGGCTGTTGTGAGGATTAAGGGGGATGATATCTGTAAAATACCTAGCACAGTGCTGGGCACATAGGAAACACTATATAAATATTAGCTATTACTATTATCATATATTTATGGAAGGTAAATCTCAAATGGAAGTGGGGGGAGGTGGGAGAGGGAAAAGGGGAAGACTGAGAAAAGCCTCCTACAATAAGTTGGATTTGAATGGAGTCTTGACAAAAGCCAAGGAAGCCAGGAAGTAGAAGTAAGAGAGAAAGAAAGAGAGAGAGAGAGAGAGAGAGAGAGAGAGAGAGAGAGAGAGAGAGAGAGAGAGAGAGAGAGAGAGAGAGAGAGAAGAGAGAGAGAGAGAGAGAGAGAGAGAAGAGAGAGAGAAAGAGAGAGAGAGAGAGAGAATTCCAGGCATGGCAAATTGTCAGTGATAGGAGATGGACATAAGGGATAAGAGCATTCCAGGCACGGGAGCAGCCAGAGAGCAGTGTAACAAAAACGTAGAGGATAGCATATACAGAAGGAGAGGGTGTTTGACAGCATCAAAGGCCACAGAGAGGTCAGGAAGGCCAGGATTAAGAAACAGCCATCAAATTTGGCATTTAAGAGATCATCAGTAACTTCAGAGAGAACATTTTCAGCTGAAAGATGAAGATGGCCAGACTTTAGTTAGTTAAAAAGAGAGAGGAGAGAAAGTGAAGTGCTGAGTGTAAACAGCTTTCTCAAGGAGTTTAGCCATGAAAGGGAGAAAAATAGAGGATGTTAGCAAGCTGAGATGCGTAGGATCAAGTGAGGATTTATTTTAAAGATGGAGGAGACGTGGGCATGTTCACAGGCAAAAAGGAAAGAGCCATAGCTAGGGAGATTGAATATTAGCAAACGAGTGGGGATGACGGAGGGGCAAGCTGCTGGAGAAGTTGGGATGGGATGGGATAAAGAGTGTATGTAGAGGGTTTCACTTTGACAAGGAGAACGGCCACTTGTGAAATGGGTATAGGAGAAAATGGTAGGGGAAGAAATCTGAGTGATAGGAGATGAACAGTAGAAAAAAAGAAAGAGCTACTGACAAATGACTTGTTATTTTGGTGAAGAATGAGGCAAGCTTCTCAACTAAGAGTGTGGGTTGAGATGGTATCCTGAGAAGCTTAGGGAGAAAGACTTTGGGATAGCCATTCTTGTGAGCAGGATATTGAACTGATTAAAGAGGTATAAAAGGACTGCCTTTCTGCAGTGAAGCTGAGATTTTGTAACATAAAGTTGTAGTGATCTCATCAGTGCCATCACCCTCTCCTTTCCATGGTTTGCCAGGAATTCTAGCAGAGTGAGGATGGTTGGACAAGTGATTTAATCTTCCGGGATCTCAGTTTCCTCAACTGTAAAATGAAAAGGTTAAGACAGATGACTGCCAATGTCTTTTCCAGTTTTAGACGTATGATCCTTTCGCTTCTCCACTCGAGAATGTTACTACACATATACCCCTACACCACGTACACCAATTCAGTGAAACAATAAATCAATAAGCATTTACTAGGTGGTGTAGTGAATAGGAGAACCAGGCCTGGAGTCAGGAAGAGTCATCTTCCTGAGTTCAAATCTGCCCTTAGATATTTACTAGCTGTGTGACCCTGGGCAAGTCACTTTACCCCGTTTGCCTCAGTTTCCTCATCTGTCAAATGAGCTGGAGAAAGAAATGGCGAACTACTCCAGTATCTTTGCCAAAAACCAAATGGAGTTATGAAGAGTCAGACATGACTCAAAACAACTGAACAGCCTAATTGTCTGCTATGTAACAGACACCAGAGATACAAAGACAAACATGAAACGATCTCTGACCTCAAAGAGCTTCCATTCAATCAGAGAAACAATGTGGACACATACTTTCCCCCTCCCATCCCAAATCCAAGGATTAGAAAGCTCCAAGAAAAAGAACACCTGCATGAAGATGTCTTGTAACTGTCAAATCTTATTCCCATAATTATCCACTGCAAAAGTCTTTTAAAATAGTGGGAAAATGTATCTTTTTCAATATCTATATAAAATATATCCTTCACTAAAGTCTAGCATAGGAGTAGGGAATCCTTTTATTAAGGGGATTTATTCTGTGAAGTTTGGATTCAATCAAAGGGCTGCACTTGAGGACCTAGAGGGCCACATGCAGCCTCAAGGCTGAAGATTCCCTACCCCTGGAACATCTCACTGTGGTATGGTATGGTGTGGTGTGGCAGCAACCTCAGGGTCCTGAAGACTCTACCAGCTGATTTTACGTTCTGGCTGACTTGACCAAGCTGGACGGACTTCAGGTACAGGTCTGATGAGTGCTGTCTAAGGACACCTTGTGGATGTGGGCAGGCTTATTTCCAGAAAAGAGATCACCAGCAGATGGAAGTTTTTGTCCAGAACAGCTCACAAAGACTTACTGTGGAAGGACAAGGGGGCTGCAATCTTCACTGGTGGAGAGAGAGGGTCTACATCAGGAAAATCACAGAGCTTCCTGGTCTAGAGTAAAGCAAGTCTTTAAATAAATGTACTACTTACCTAACACATAAAGATACAAGGTCTCACTTGCTGTAAGGCTTAATGATTCTATTTCATACTGGCCTTCATCAGATGCCATTAAATTCAGGATGGTAAAGTTCCCAGATTGGTCTAATCTTCCCCTTTTTTCAAAGGGCCCAAAGAACGAATCTTGAACATTTTCTCGCCGTTCTGCTACTTTATTTTTCCCTTTTTTCCAGGTAATATCTTTAAACTCCATTTTTTGCAATGGTGAAAGTGTAACATTACTGCTCATGAGGCCAAATATCTCCACGAGTTCACAGTTGCCCAAGTCTATGAAAAACAGAAAGAGACAAATGAGGTAAAACCCCATAAACACGTTGATAATATAGTCACCCCTTCTGAGACCCCTCCCCTCACCCTTGCCAATAGAAATGATCTCTAGTTTAGGCAGCCAACATCATTACCAACTGAACACTCATTATTTGTAGGGAACAGAAGGTGTTAGATAGCACCTGCCTGTAAGGGTTTCTTCCAGTCCTGTGGGGAAAATGAGATGAACCCAGAAACAGTATCATGGGTAGTGTTCTTAGCGCACACTCATAAGCTACAATTCATTCAAGTACTTCCCGCTTTCTGGCACACTATTTAGTTCAAAGGGAAATTACCAGGTTTCAAAAGCGGGTGTTAAACTTTATTTTTCTTGCTCTTTTTTGGGGGTGGCAACATGGCTAATATGGAAATGTTTTACATGATTTCACATGTATAATCAATATCCTATTGCTTGCCTTCTCAACATGTGGGGGAAGGACTGGATGGAGGGAAGAGAATTCAGAACTCAAGTTTTATAAAAGAAACGCTAAAAATAAACAAATTATAAGTTTGGGGTTTTTTTTAATGGGTATTAAAGACAGATAATCAGCTGCAGTTTCTCCCAAGTATTATCAGAACTGAAAGAAGGAGGAGGCGGAAAAGAAGATTAAGAGGAAGGAGGAGGAGGAGGAGGAAAATTTGAAAAGAATTAGTGAGGAACTTTTTTCAAAGTCTTTTTGCATAGAAACAAACCTTCACAGATTTATTTATTCTTATTTCTCTATTTGTCTTTTTTCCTATTCTATACCATCTTCTCATCAGATGAATTACCCCAACATATAGCACTGGGTTTTGCAACCTTATAAAGCAGTGGTTTCAACACTGATTCCAGAGGACTGAAGATGAAGCATGCTAACCACCTGCTGTAGGGCTGCTAGGTGGCACACTGGACCTGGAGTCAGAAAAACCAGAATTCAAATCTAATCCCAGACACTTACTAGCTGTGTGATCCTGGGCAAGTCACTTAACCCTGTTTGCCTTGTTTTCTTCATCTGTCAAAAGAGCTGAAGAAGGAAATGGCAAACCACTGCAGTATCTCGGCCAAGAAAACCCCAAATGGGGTCAGGAAGAGTCTGAAATGACTGCCCAACAAAAACCACCATCTGCTGAGAAGGAAATGAGAGAAGAGTCCATACTCAAGGTGCAGAATGAGACTGCACAGGCCATCTCTTTGTCTGGCTAGTTTGTATTAAAGGACTAGACAGGGAGAAAGACTGGAGCTATGATTTCACTGGTAGAGGCAACTCTGGCTGATGAATCCTTTTTCACGAGTGATACAGGTCAAGACCTTCCCTTCAGTTTATTTTTTTAGGAAGTTGCCCAGAGCATTGAGAGATTAAATGATTTACCTAGGGTCACACAGTCAGTAAATATCAGAAGCAAGAAGCAAACTCAGGTCTTCCTGAATCTGAGGCTGAATTTTTATCCACCATGCCATGCTGCCCCCATCATCAAAGCCATTATTAATAATACCTTCGTCAATCTCTGAAAATATAGTTTAATTTAAAAAAATAAAACCTGGTGTTCACATAGTGCTTTAGATCTTGCATAGGCCTTTTCAGACACAATATAATTTGATTCTCCTGACAATCCTCCCAGGTAACCAATACAGACATTATCATCCCAATTTCATGAATGAGGAAATGGCAGCTCAGAGATCTAGGTCTTCTTGACTCCAAGTCTAATAGCATATTCACTCTGCTTCCTGACCACCCCTCAGACTGGACCCACAGGGTGCTGGCCATTCACCTTACCCAGTCATCTCAGCAAAATGTTCTACAGATCAGGGCTACAGAGGAGCAGGACACATAGCTGGATTTTATGGTTTGAGAGCAAGACACAGAGAGAGTGATAAATGTCTTACCATGAGCTGCCACCTATACTAACAGCTATTAGTATATAAATAATATTAATGTATTAATAATAGTAACTAGTATTATAGCTAGCATACTATTGATAATAATAACTGGTATTGGTATTATTATAGCTAGCATAATAACACGTGACTAATTATAGAAGCTTTTCCATGGCTATTAGCATCAAAGAAAGGACATTGGGTTTTCATTTGGGCTCTGCTACTAATTGTGTATATGACTTTAGGCAACCTCTGGGCCTCATCTGCAAAACGAAGTAAGTTGGACTATAAGGAGATACTTAGCCAGTCTTAGTGATTTGTATTTGTTCTGTTTAGTAAAGGAACATGGCACCAAGGATTTATAACTGAGAGGGGCCTAGAAGCAATCCATTCTAACCCCTTTACTTTAGAGATGAGGAAATTAAAGCGGGGGGGTGGGGTAGGGAACAGCAATTATATGATTTACCCAGGGTCTGGACAATTGTCTGTGGCAGGATTTGAACCCAGATATTCTTTTATTTAAATTAAAAATTTTTTTTGAACCCAGGTATTCTTGACTTCAAGTCAAATAACCCTTTCACTACATTATGCTGCCTTTCAATTTTGCTTTAATATTTTTACCAATGATTTGAATAAAGACATAGATGCAATGTTTATCAGATTTGTATAGAATGTCAATCACCACACACACACACACACACACACACACACACACACGTACTATCATTTTTAAAGAGTAACCCCTTTGAGAATGTCATCCCCTAATCTCTGCCACTACCAGTACTCCCAAGTGCCAACCAAGTGCCACTGAGGGAAGAAGCAAACTAGCCATCTGATGTAGCAAGAAACCCTGAGAAAGAGAAAAAAGGTGGCATGTGCCAACAAAGTCACGCCACCAGATCCTAGTGGCAACAGCACCCAAAAGTCCCAAGAGTAGTAGTGTCCCACCCAGGCCACCAGCTCTGCTTCCAGCCTGGCCCTAAAGCCGGCATCCAGAGAAGCAATCCTCGCAGAGATGAGACCCGACGTTCCCGCCACCACTGGCATCAGTTGCTGACCAATTGAAGTAGCCTCTAGAAACCAAGGAACAGCAGTGCCCTAACTGGACCTGGGCTCTTTTGGCAGACCACCACGTACCCCACAACCAGGGAGACGATCATTGTGAAGACAAGGTCTGGCAACTACCTGTACTCACCATCAACATCCTCGTCATTGTTGAGTGGTTCAATATAACAGATGTGGTTTTATTACTGGAAAGGACACTAAAGAAGGTATTTTACCATCTACTCTATTCCTGAACCCTAAGGACCACCAAGCCTTTCCATCCATACTGCAACTGGACTCTCTTCTATATGTTGCTTCCCTATATTAGTATGTGAGCTATTTGGGAGTAGGAACTATCTTATTATTTTTTTTTATTTGTACTCAGTGGTTTACACAGAGACGATGCTTGAGAAATGCTTCATTCATTCATTCATTCATTTGCCAATGACATGAAGATGGGAGCGGTAGTTAACATGCATCAGGGTGAAAAAGAGAGCTCCCTAAGCTGTGATGATCTCATTTTAATAAGAGTAAATTTAATAAGTAGAGCTATAAAATCTTATGAAATTTAAAAAACAGCAACTAACTTCACACATATAAATGGGGTTGGAAGAGGTGGAGAGATAGGGAGGAATCAGAGCTAGAAAGCAGTTTGTGAGAGGAATCACAGCTAGAAAGCAGTCTGTGGGGTGAATCACAGCTAGAAAGCAGTTTGTGGGAGGAATCACAGCTAGAAAGCAGTTTGTGGGAGGAATCACAGTTAGAAAGCAGTTTGTGAGAGGAATCATAGCTAGAAAGCAGTTTGATAAGACTGAAAGCTCCAGACAGCTTACAAAACAACTGTTATCTTTGGTGGTGCTGAGAGTCAATAACTGGAATGATTGAGGAGATAGTCCCAATGGCCTTTGCCCTGGTCATATCACTGCTCTAATATTGGTTTTAGTTCTGCCTGTCACATTTTAATAAGGTAATTAGCCAGTTGGAGACTGTCCAGAGAAGTCAAGCAGAATGGTTAAGGACCACATGAGGAACACCTGAGAGAACCCAGTGTAGAAGGACAGGGGACAGGACACCTGTGCATAGGGCTCATCACATGGAAGGCAGTCACAGACTCATAGAGCTGGGAAGGTCATCAGAGGTATTTTAGGTTTAACTTGCACCAGATCAAGAATCTCTCCTCCAGCATAAATCCTTGATCCAGGAACATCCAGTCTTCACTTGAAGACCTTCAGGCATGGGAAAATCATTATATCCTTGGGCAGTCCATTCCATTTTTAGACGCCTCTAATGGCTGGGAAGCTTTCTGAAATCTGCCACTTTGCACCCCTACTCATTGCTCTCTATGACCAAGCAGACCATGTCAAATCTCTCTCCTACGTGCTAGCTGAATAATTAAGGATGGCTATGATGTCCTCCCTTACTCCTCAAGTCTTCTCTTTTTCCAGGAGAAACATTCCCAGTCCCTTCAACTGATCCCAGTCTTGAGCTCCCTCACCATCCCAGTGGCTCTCTTGCTTTACAAACTGTAAATAGGTCAAGTATGTGTATTATAGACAAAGTTGGGTAAATTTACTTGTGTGGAAGTGATACAGCTGAAGTGCACTATTGATTTCAATTAAAGCTCTGTTAGCCATTCATTTGCCTACATACACAAATGAAACTTGTTAGATTTTTAAAGAGAGTCCAAGAAAACTTGCAGGCTCTATTTCTGAGGCTTTTGGTCCCCAAAATAGAAAACCTTACATATTGCCCATGTTATAAACACATGTTGAGATATGGATGAGAAAAACTACCCTTAGATATCTAGGCAGAAAGCTAATGAGGACCTGTCGTGAAGTTCACACAAAGTCTAACCTACCATATTCTGAGTTACTACAAATATTTCTCCTCTCCATATGGAAAAGAGGAGAGCAAGAATGGGAGAGGAGAAAGGAAAGAAGAGAGAGAAGGGGAAAGGGGGGAGGGAGGAGAGAGAGAAAAGGGGAGAGAGAAAAGAAAGAAAGAAAGGGGAAGAGGGAGAGAGACAAAGAGTGAGGGGAGGGAAGGGGGGAAGAGGATATGA